TAAAAACCTCACAGTATGATTTGGGAGCACTTTAAAAGTTAATTTTATAACTTTACCTATTTGTCTATAGACATACCAGGTCTGTGTGTCTACAGGTATCTCCAATATCTGTAAAGCTTTTGCTTGTTTACTTCCAGGAATCTCTTGTCTGCAGAGACACCTTGGCAGCTTCTTGCTGGATACTTTTTTATCACCTCTGCCTTCTCAGTTGCTCACTCAAACTGATAGTAAGCCTTCTGTATACATTTGGAGTGGCACTGTAGCAAGAAATCTTCCAGTTTGGTCTCCAGCTTTATAATTTTCTTGTGCCTCTAGAGCAGAGCAGTAGTACAATAACAAGGGAAACGTACTGGACTCTTCTAGTAATGATTAAAATCCCAATGTCTTAAAAATAACTTTGCTCTCTATACTTTGTCTGTTCAATCTGTGAAGTGAAACTTGATAACCTTTCTGCTTTTACAATGAATATCTTTCTCCTTCTGCTACGTCAGTGTTATTTTAAAGGATCTGATTTTGTTCTGCAAGCTGTATTTATTAATGCTTCACAAATAACTCTTGTCACTGGATTAGTTTAAAAGTAACTTACTGTGGTGTCTGCAAAATCTGTTTTATTGGCACATCTGAGCATTATAATATCAAATTTCTCATGGCCTTAATGATATACAATATCTTGCTTTCCTAAAAAAAGACTTGTACAGATCAAATAGCATCACAAAAGCTTAGGTTAATGCCCTTTTCCCTTCAGTACAGCATGGGACTTTATATACCTCATCACATACGCATTACTGTCAGCTGCAAAGGTGGTTCTGTGCTGCAGACTTATTTTCAGAAGTGAGACCATTGCTGCAGTGTTCATATTCAGTGAAAGAGGAATCAAGGCAAGAAATGGTCCACGATGTGCGTATATATAGACCTACTGAAAAGGTTTCCCTATGTCCCTTTCTGAGTTGTTCCTCAAGTGGGACATCAAGCTGTGCAGGGCAACAGTCTACAGATACTTTTCATGTGTTGGAGTACTTCTCATGATATGTTCACATTCTGATTTTTGATCCCTGCCTTGCACGTTCCTTGTAGCAATGGTGCTACCTGATGGAAGACAGTAAGCAACTTTAGAGGATAATCTTACTCATTGTCTCTTTAAATGACAAGTAAATGAGCTTTGTGGGGTTTTCGAATAACGCATTAACGATCTATAACTGAGCAGACAATCAGCAGATATGACCACTCTTGTTCTTTGTGGAGATTGTATCCTTTCACGTTCTCTCACTGCTTGTTGGTTACCACTCACTGTGACTGATCACTTAAATCATATACTATTGTTTCTGTCTCATAAGTGAGCATCTGGAATTCTAAAAAAACCCCTAATTCCAATGCTGAGAACTGTTGTCCTCCAAACAGTGGCGTGAATAAAAGAGATAGATGGACACAGCTGTTCTGGAGTTAGAAGCTCAACCAAAAGGCAGCTTATGCCAGAGATGCCTTCACTGAGCTACACCCAGCAGGAAGCGTTCCTAACTGAAGAAAGATCCTTTCTCGCTGTTTTTGAAGCAGCTCCCCAGAGAAACCAGACAGCACTTTGAGATCTTCTGAAGCAGAAGTACGTGAATCACAGCAGAATTACACGGGTGTCAACATCTGATATAGTGAAAGCGCTTTCTAACTAGAGGGTGTAGGTTTTAATGGAGTAGCACAAAAACTGACTCTGGTCTGTTATACTAAACGGTTTTTTTTTAACACTTTCCTTTTGGCATTTAAACAGTATTTCAGATTTTAAGTTAAAAAATGGACTGAGTCTTAGTGTTCATGATTTGTTTTACTCTGTAGATCAGTGGTTTATTTAATGTAGGAGGCATAATTTGTCTATTTTACAGAAGAGCTATTTGAGGAAACAACTAATTTATATTAGCAAGGGGGTGGTGAACAAAAGTTTCAGGTGTGGCGAAAATGTATTGTTGGTACCTTCTTTACCACTCTAATTATGGTGAATAAATGGAGCCAGAGAAGGAGACAGGCAAGAACAAGGCTGATCAATACATGCCTCTCCCTCGCCTTCCCTGCAGTCAAACCAGAATGATTGCACTTATCTGGCCTTCTTGGGGAGTATCTATTCCTTGCTGGAGGTTAAATGAAAAACTCTTGTATTCCTACTTTTATGCTGACCCTAAATTTGTGTCCTGATTCTCCTGTCTCTGGCTATATGGACAGTTCTTCAAGTCAATGGGAAAATTGTCATGAAAAAGGGTTGCTCACATGAATGAGGTTTGCAAGATCAAGCCCTTCATGATCAGTATAACCCTGGGCATCGGGCTGATACGGCATCCCTGATTTACAAGAGTAATCCTATTAGCATCAAAGGGACAATTCACATGAGTAAGGACTGTGAGAATGGGCCCCTCAGGAGCAACTATCACCACAGTTATGTATCTAACCTCACTTAGATCACAGCAGTTTTCAAATGTTCTACAGGCACTTTATGCTGCTACTGAACTTTGGGAAGAAAATAGACCTTGAGCACAAGTTCACTTCTGCTTTACTGACTATGGCCCCAGTTTTACACTCTATTTAGACTCCTCTTCTCCCCATTCTTAAGTGGTTCAGGGTCTGCAAGAAATATTGGCTTCTCTTCTTGGTTCTTTTCTTTTCTATGTTTTTCCTTTTTCTTTTTTTTCCTCCTTTCTCCTGTTCTTTTCTCTTTATCTTTTATTTTTCTCTTATTTTATTTCCTTTTATCATCTTTTTTGTCTTTTCTCTTCCCTTATTTTTTCCCTTTTATCCTTTTTTCTTTTTTCCTTTTCTCATTTCCCTTCCCCCTCTTCTTTTTCTTTCTTTTTCTCCTTTCCTTTTAATCTTTTTTCTATTTTTCCTTTTTCATTTTTTCTATTTTTCCTTTTTGTTCTTCTTTCCTCTTTCCCCTCCCTTCTTGTCCTCCTCCCTTCCTTTTACCTTCTTTCTGTAGCTTCCTTAAAATTAGGGGAATTAAATGATGGTAGGAAAAAAATTAACAGGGTGTTGGGCTCAAAATTCAGAGACTGGGAACACAGAAGCTTTCCCAATTTCAGAAGCATTTTTTAAGGTCACATAGATCACCCTAAATTTCCAGAACATGTAAAACAGGTATGTGAAATCCAAAGGAAAGTGTGATTTTTGTAGAATTTCTAGCTGCATTTCTGCTTCTCTTTATATCCTACCTACAACTAATGAAAATGGCCTTTCTCCTGGCTTTCTGGTATTTCCATGTCTAGTTCTGAGAACTGCATATAAAACTGCATATAAAACAATTACCAGATTTTCTTCTCAAGTATAATAATGTGGGTTTAGTTTAACTCTGTTAATGTAACAGGTTTACCTTCTTTTTAAACTGGCTTTGGATAAGGATTAGAATGTCAAACATAGAAAAACAGAAAAGGTGGTAATAGAAAATAGTTATAGTTTTATTTCAGTAGCACTAATTACACTATGTGATTGGGATACATTATGTGTTAGGTGTTGTACAAAAATTTGTGAAGATACAATTCCTGCCTTGAAGTAAGTTACAAGCTGCAGAAATGCTTCCATTTTTTAGAAACAAACCCATTCCCTGGGATGGATCCATGCTCATGCGAGTTATTTTGTTGACTTCAGTGGAAATACTATTTGCTGTGTCCTTAGCAAGAATAAAGGTTGTTGAACCCAACTTCTACCATCGTTTAAAAAAAGTTCTGATACTACAGTCCTTGGTCAAACGAGTTTTGCTTTGTTTGATGATTAATAAGAAGAGTCACAAAGGTCTGCGCACACACACACACACACACACACAGGTATTTAACATGACATGAAGCACAGAAGTTAACATCAATGCATGCTGAATATCTGTACCTAAGCCTAGTTTTTCCATAATGATGCAGCCTCAAAAACTGTATCCCTTTCTGACTTTGTACACATCTTTAGGATTATTTCTGAAACCATTACTGGTCACCCAAGTACATTCATCTCCATGTTCTTCAGCCTGGTTTATCATGAGCTGCTCAGTCACAAGCATTGCTCTGGTGATGAGGAAGAGTGCTATAGGAATAACGTAATTTTCTCTGAAGAAGCAGTGGGAAGGTCGGACGCCAGGTTTCCACCTTTCACCACACCCTAGTCCGGCGGTAGAAGCCTGCGGCCAGCCCTGAAGTTCCTTTATGCAAGCCATTTCTAGATTTTTTCCCTTTGGTAAAAATTCAGATCCACCAAAACAATGTAGGGGCCCAACGTACTGAGACTTCAGGCGCTTTACATAGTTTTTGAGGTAAGCTTTGAGCCCACTTGGGAGTTTGTGCACTTGCTGGACACGGCGTGTCTCTAAGGAACCCCGGCTGGGCCACGGTCTTTGGTTTCCCTCCGTCGCAGAGCCCAGGGGTGTTGAGACAGGGGGGCTTTTCCTTCCTTGTTTGTTCTCCCTGGTCCTCCCTCTTTTCCTCCCAGGTAACGTTTGCCGGGCTCTGGGCCTGAACCCTGCCCTTCCCGGGCGAGCGGCCGCGGACGAACCGGCGCCGT